AGAATTTAGAGGGTTAATATGTTGTGGAGTTGTTAACCAATGTCATAAAACAACATGTGTACTACTGTTTCATGAGAAACTATTTATTCTGTAAGCCTTCACCTGAAGTACAATAAAATAAAAAATACAAAAAAAAAAAGGTTGAGAAGTTAAAAGGTTGACATGTTGTGGGGTTGTTAACCAATATCATAAAACAATATGTGTACTACTGCTTCATGAGAAACTATTTGTTCTGTAAGCCTTTACCTGAGGTACAACAAAAATAAATAAATAAATGTAAAAAAAAAAATCAGCCACTGAAAACTTTATGGAACATAACTCTGCTCTGACACATATGGAGTTGCCATGAGTTGGAATTGACTCGGTGGCAATTGGCTGGTGTTTCTTTTTGAGCAACAGTGAGCAGTATCAGGAGGTAAGGCATAGATGGCGGTCAGGGGCTCTTAACCTACCTGGTTTTTAGTCTTTATCTATATGACACAGTCATAAGGCCCAGGTTTTTTTTCTCTAATTGGTCTTTGCAAAATTTCCCTGCCTGTTGGCTCATAGTCCTGCTATCTTTTACTTGCTGAAGGCTCCCACACCCATTCTGACCACTGCTAAAAGGAACTTGAAAACATATTAAAAACTCAAAGTCCATAAGGATAGTTTTTAGAAAGAACTCAGCAAGTTTTTATCGACTATAAATAAGCAACCAGACTATCAAAGTCAGCTGTTTAAATAACTAGGAAACATTTTAATAAGATGCTTTAAAAAAGGTGACAGTCCCCAAAACTATGGAAGTTCTATCACACAAAAATCAAATCAAGACTGAGCAGAGGGCTGTGGGGATGATGGTCTCAGGGAACATCTAGCTCAATTGGCATAACACCGTTTATAAAGACAATGTTCTAAATTCTACCTTGGTGAGTAGTGTCTGGGGTCTTAAAGTCTGTGAGCAGCCATCTGAGATACCCCACTGGTCTTGCCCCTTCAGGAGCAAGGGAGAATGAAGAGAATAAGATACAAGAAAAAGGTTAGTCCAAAGGACTAAAGGACCACAGCTACCATGGCCTCCACCAGACTGAGTCCAGTACAGCTAGATGGTGCCCGGCTACCACCACTGACTGCTCTGACCAGGATCGCAATACAGTGTCCTGGACAGAGCTGGAAAAGGATGTAGAACAAAATTCTAACTCACACACACAAAAAAAAGACCAGATTTACTGGCCTGACAGACTGGAGAAACCCCAAGAGTATGGCCCCCGGACACCCTTTTAGCTCAGTGGTGAAGTCACTCCTGAAGTTCACCATTCAGACGAGGATTGGACAGCCTCATAAAACAAAACAGGACTAATGAGGCACAGCAGTCCAGGGACAAGGACTAGAAGGCAGAAGGGGATAGGAAAGCTGGTGATAGGGAACCCAGGATTGAGAAAGGACAGTGTTGACATGTCGTGGGGTTGTTAACCATTGTCCATAGGGCAATAGGTGTACTAACTGTTTAATGAGAAACTATTTGTTCTGCAAACCTTCATCTAAGGTATAATAAAAAAAGAATTATCTATGTGAGATCAAATTGACAACAGCAACTCAAAAGGTTTGATGGGAAGCCTAGGGGGCAGTGAGTTGAAGATAAGGGTGACGGAATAATTTGGAAAAGGATAATGAGAATAGCAGCATAACTGGAAGAACGTAATTGATGTCACTGAATTGTACATGCAGAAACTTTTGAAATGGTATATCTTTGGCTATGTATATTTTCACCAAAAAAAAAGGTCCTCCAAGGTCGAGAAGGGAGAGTATTGACATGTCTTGGGGTTGTTAACCAATGTCATAAAACAATGTGTGTACTGACTGTTTAATGAGAAACTATTTGTTCTGTAAACCTTCATCTAAAGTACAATAAAAAAAATTTTTTTTAAAGTCTCTTTTATAGAGAGTATAGAGCAGAGACCTCAATGCTGAGAAGAAGGGTAGATACACAAATTGCATCTCAAAACCTTAGCGTTTTAAGCAAATAAAATCTCTTCTATTTTGCCTGGGGATCATGGCAGCTGAAATGGTGAAGTAATGCACGGTAGGCATGGAAGCATGTGAAGAATTACTCCACAGAAGAAAGAGGCTTATAAATACCACCAGCCTCAACTCTATCCTATCCCAGTGGACTTGCCAGTTACATTTGAAGAGAACGCTAAGATCAAAGTGACTGAATCATTAATTAAAATGCATTGCCAGGCAGGCTAAGTAATTTTTTTCCCTAAATGTTGCAGAATAATTTAAAATGGTCATTGGAATGCATCCCATCTGGTCCATTTCACTTTTCTTAAAAAAAAGCTTTTTTTTTTTTTTTTCCAGCAGTCATCAGGGACACGACCTAACATTTATTGAATACCGGCTGTGATCCAGATACTCCATGGGGTATTTTATACAGCTTTTTTTCACCTCAGCCCGAACAGAAATTCTGTGAGGGAGATATTATCTCCATTTTATGAATGATGAAAACTTGCTCAAAGCAGTATAGTAACTTGGCCGAGTTAGAAGATAGAAGAGTCAAGTTTTATTTTTTTTTTCTATTTATCTCCAAAGCTCAAACAGCAAGTAAGAAGACGAGCACAAGGCGAGAGGAAGAGTCTTTGCCAGTGGGGGTGCTAGTGATAGTCCAGGAGCCCAGAGGAATGACTTCTCTAAGAGGAGCTCGGAGACTCTGGGTAGTGCAAACAGTTAACGTGCTCAGCTGCTAACCAAAATGTTGGAGGTTCAAATCTACCAAGAGTTGTCTCAGAAAAAAAGCCTGGCAATCTACTTCTGAAAAATCAGCCATTCAACACGCTATAGAGCACAGCTCCACTCTAACACACACAAGGTCGCCATGAATCGGAATCGACTCGATACCAGCTGGTTAATAGGAGCTCAGATTCTTAAAGCCTCTTCCTGAGCATTCAGAGCATGATAGCATACGCCTTGTTGTCATCATCGTATTAGTTATCACTTGCTGCACAATAAATTACTCCAAAACTTAGTGATTTAAAGCAACATTCATTAGCTCACAGTTTCTGTGGGTAAGGAATCTGGGTGTGGCTTAACTAGGTCCTGTGGCTCAAGGGTCTCTCACAAGGCTGCAGTCAAGGAACAGGCCAAGGTTGCAGTCCCTCTGAGGCTGGACTGCAGAAGGATATAAGCTCACTCATGTTGCTGGCAAGATTCAGTTCCTCACAGGCCGTTGGACTGAGGACTGCCCTCAGCTTCTTGCCATCTGGGCCTCTCGCAGCTCACAACATGTCAGCTGGCTTCATCATAGTGAGCAAGCAAGAAGAACCAGACAGAGTAAGAGCAAGATGGAAGTCATGGGTGTAAATACCAGGTGGCAAGAATCACTGGCGGCCATTGTGGAAGCTGCCAACTTCAACCAGGAATTCATTTATCCGTTTATTTATTTTATCAACAAATAGTTATTAACCTCCCACTATGGGTCAGTTTCTGTAACTAAAACTACAGATATAGTGAAAACCAGTTGCTGTCTAGTTGATTCTGACTTATGGTGACCCCATGTGTGTCAGAGTAGAACTGTGCTCCACAGGGTTTTCAATGACTGATTTTTGGGAAGCAGATTGCCAGGCCTTTCCTCCAAGGTGCCTCTAGGTGGATTTGAATCTCCAACCTCTTGGTTGGCAGTCAAGTGCCTTTATCTTTTTTTTTTTTAATTTTTTGTTTTTATTGTACTTTAGGTGAAGGTTTACAGAACAAATAGTTTCTCATTGAACAGTCAGCACACATATTGTTTTAAGACATTGGTTAACAACCCCAATACATGTCAACACTCTCCCTTCTCGAACTTGGAGGATCTTTTTTTTGTGTGTGAAAATATACATAGCCAAAGATACATCATTTCAAAAATTTCTACATGTACAATTCAGTGACATTGATTACTTTCTTCCAGTTTTACTGCTGTTCTCAATATTATTTTCCAGATTATTCCATCACCATGGTCTTTAACTCACCGTCTCCTAGGCTTCCATCAAAACTTTGAGTTGCTGTTGACAATTGGATCTCACATTGATAATTCTTTTTTTTTGTACTTTAGATGAAGCTTTACAGAACAAAATAGTTTCTCATTAAATAGTTAGTACACCTATGGCCCTATGACAATGGTTAACAACACCACGACATGTCAACACTGTCCTTTCTTAAACTTGGGTTCCCTATCACCAGCTTTCCTGTTCCCTCCTGGCTTCTAGTCCTTGTACCTGGACTGATGTGCCTCATTAGTCCCGTTTTGTTTTGTGGGGCTGTCCAATCCCCAGCTGAACGGTGAACTTCAGGAGTGACTTCACCACTGAGCTAAAAGGGTGTCTGGGGGCCATACTCTCGGTATTTTTCCAGTCTATGTCAGGCCAATAAATCTGGTCTTTTTTTGTGAGTTAGAATTTCGTTCTACATCCTTTTCCAGCTCTGTCCAGGATCCTCTGTTGTGATCCCAGTCAGAGCAGTCAATGGTGGTAGCCGGGCACCATCTAGCTGTACTGGACTCAGTCTGGTGGAGGCCTTGGTAGCTGTGGTCCATTAGTCCTTTGGACTGATCTTTTCCTTGTATCCTGTTCTCTTCATTCTCCCTTGCTCCTGAAGGGGTGAGACCAGTGGAGTATCTCTGATGGCTGCTCACAGGCAAAAAAAGCATTTTTAAGGTAGGCCTCCTACCTACGGAGTCTTGGTGGTGTAGTGGTTAAGAGCTCAGCCGCTAACCAAAAGGTCGGCAACTCCAATCCACCAGCTGCTCTTTGGAACCCTATGGAACAGTTGTACTCTGTCCTATAGGGATGCCATGAGTCATAATCGACTCGACGGCAATGGGTTTGGTTTTGGCTTGGCTACCTAAAATAAGGGCAAATATCAATGGACTTCCCACTTCCAGAGAATCCCAATCATGTGGAAATTTCTTGCCACCTTTATGTCTGGGACCACAACCCAAGTTTCTTAGACTAATTTAAATTTCTATTCACTTTGGGACAAGATTGGGAAGTTGTTTACTCTTCAACACAGACACCTATGCTCTCTGTTTTGTTTGTATTTTTTTAAAAAGAGTAAGTTATTATAGACATTATGGTTAAAATGATATGGTGATTTATGTGTCTTAGAAACAGCCTTATGAAACTCTGAAATGTTATCAATTTTTAAAATTAATTTTAATAGTCACATTGTACCTAGCCTTTATTCTATTTTTTTAAGTCTTTTGGTAAAAAAACAATAAAATCCCACCTAACAGTCAAATATGAAGACCCCAGTTTTGTTTCAATTAAAAAAGAAAATCAGACTTACTGCGATTTTTCCAAGATCTATGCCATAATTCAGCGAACTCCATGAACACTGCTTGTAGTTTGGTGTCCAGGACTCCTCAAAGCTTTCCCTCAGGCATTCCCCCTTTTCTCCTTTGAATCCGTCCCGACCTGGGATCCCAGGGGTACCAGGAATGCCGTTGGCCCCAGGGCTCCCATCTCGACCAGGCACCCCTGCAGGCCCTTGTAAGCACATTCCATTATACTACAGGGAGAAAGGAAAGAGGAATAAACTCTCACCACTTATGTAAGATCCAAAGACTCAGTCTGATTAAAATGGCCCTTATTTTGAGCCTTTGGAGTCAAGTATTCCTTCATCCCACTCGTCCATGGTATTCTATATGAGTTACTATAGAAAATTGATTTTTTTCTTTAGATAATTCATTTTAAACTTATTACTAAAATAATGAGATTTCATTCCTACATTTTTTTTATTGCTCAAACTTTACCCACACACACCAAAAACCGAACAAAACTCATTGCCATCAAGTCGATTCTGACTCATAGTGACCCTATAGGACAGAGTAGAACTGTCCTATACGGTTTCCCAGGCTGTAATCTTTACGGAAGCAGACTGCCACCTCTTTCTCCTACAGAGTCGCTGGTGCGTTCTAACCACTGACCTTTCAGTTAGCAGCTGAGTACTTTAGCCACTGTACCACAAGGGCCCCTACAGACACACACACAAAGAGGACAAAATGTTTTCATTTGCCTTGCTCCTTCCTACTGCAAGCATATGCAATTTTTAAATAGCTATATTCCAAAGGTTGATATAATTTGATGTTTTGCTTTTTACATCTAACCCTATATCCTATAAAAGGACTTGGATTTCATAATTATGCTTTTATAGTTTTATGCAAACATTGAACTATTTTTGGATACTGTGATCATTAAAGTTGTGTATCAGCTTGGCTGGGCCATGATTCTCAGATTCTGGTTAGGCAGTCGTATAATGATATAATCACCTCCGTGATGAGATCTGATATAATGTGATCACCTCCATGATAGGATCTGCTGTGAGTAGCCAATCAGTTGGAAGGGAGTTTCCTTGGGGGTGTGGCCTTTACCCAATATAGGCAGACTTTCTGGCAAGGCTGGTGGGAGGCTTTTGCTTGCTCTGGATCCTGCAGCTGGCTCTTGTTCATCTGATCTCTAGTTCTTGGGACTTGAGCTAGCAGCTTGTCTGCCCATCTTGGGGTTCATTAGCCTCTGTGGTCTGGATCTTGGGTTCACCAGCCCCTGCAGCTACATGAGTCACGAGAAGCCTCTGCCTGACCCATGGACTTGAAACTTTCCAGCCTCTACAACCATATGAACCATTTCCTTGATATAAATCTCCCTCTCTTGATAGATAGACAGATAGATAGAGAGATGCGTCATTGGTTTTGCTTCTCTAGAGAACCCAGCCTAAGACAGATACTTAGGTTATTTCCAGTTTTTCTATCATTAATATTATTGTAATAAAATCTTTATCCATATAGGTTTTTTTCTCCTTTTGAATTATTTTTCTAAGATAAAAATTCCTCGGAGTATAATTATAAAATCTTAACATCAATAATTATCTTACACTGGCAATATCCATAAGTTGGATATACATTGTTGTTGTTGTTAGGTGCCATTGAGTGGATTTCAACTTACAGTGATGCCATGTGACAGAGTAGAGCTGTTCCATAGGGTTTCCTAGGCTATAATCTTTACAGAAGGTCTTTCTTCCTCAGAGCCACTGGTTGGGTTCAAACTGCCAGCCTTTCAGTTGCATGAACAGGGCTCCTGCATACTCTCCCTATTTTTATATGGAGGGTATGTCACTAGGGTAGCAGTCCTGACCTCCAACCTCACCCCCCTCCCTGAGGAGGAGTAAGTGACTGGTTGTGCATGACCGTTGGTCCTCAAAAGTGTGGCAATAATTTATCAAAAGTCTGTAAGTGGAAAAAAAAAAAGTCTTAGGTGCTAGGATTCTGTTTTTTGAGGGGTGGTATTGTGTAGAGGTTAAGAGCATGAATTCTGGAGCTAGATTCTCTGGATTTAAATCTTGGCTCTGTCACTTATTAGCTGTGTGAGATAGGCAAGTTACTCAACCTTTTAGTGCCTCTATTTCCTTACCTGTAAAATGGGGATAATAATAAAGATTCTCACCTCTCAGGCTTATTATATGATTTAAGTGTGATAATAAATAAAGTGTGCTTAGAACAGTGCCTGGCACACAGTAAACACTGCATGCGTCAGCCATTATTATTCTTATTCCTTCAGGACCAGTGGGAGGAGTAATCCTGGGTGTGTCCACTCCCTTGAGTGGGTTTTACCAGGGTCTAGACCTGGTGGGACAATGGTTAGGCTCTGAGCTGCTAACAGAAAAAGTTGGTGGTTCAAACCCACCCAGTGGCTCTGCAGGAGACAAGACCTGGCGATCTGCTCCCATAAAGATTACAGCCTAAAACAGCCTATGGGGCTGTTCTACTGTGTCATATAGGGTCGCTATCAGAATCGACTCTGTGGCACGCAACAAGACCTGAGGAAGAGAGCATTAACAAACCTGCTGCTTGCACACAAAAGCCACACATGCCAACAGAGTTGGATCAGTGATACAGGTGGTATTTTGGTCTCCGTCTGTCCAATTCCCATGTCTACCTCTAAATAGGTTCAGGTGGGAACAGGCATGCCATTTATTAGACCCTTCAAACCCCAACACAGTCCATTTAATTTTTTAATTTTAACCATTTCCCTATTTGTGTAAATTTTTCAATACCATCATTCTGTATAAATATACTGTAGAGTGAGAGAAAAAACAAAGTTCCTTATATATTAAAATAACCGTCAAGCTTATCTTTTAACTTCTCTCTCTGGGATTGGAAATAGTTAGGTTATAAAATCCAATAATGACACTGCCTAGAAAGGATCTTTATGTACCTAGATTAATGTTTGCCAACTAATTTGCTTCTCACATCACCAGTTTGATCTTTGTTTTGATAAATAATTTTTATGACTTTTACCATTGCCATTTTTTCTGATTGTAAGGGAAAAAGACACTACTATTTATTTACTGTAAATAATATGAGGATAAATAGTAAGAAAAGTATTTAATATTTGCAAAAGTATACGAGGACATGCCAAAGTAAAAAAATGTTAAAAAACAGTTTAGTTTTATTTTAGACTTAATTTTTATTTTAGTATTTTCATGCCCTTTCACTAGATAAATGCAATGTGTAGACATACATATAAAGTGGAAAGGGAGAAACAATAAGGTTTCTTCTGGTACTCTTTGATTGTTTTTTTCATTATTATTCCCCTGGAGTTAGACGGTACACAGACTAAGTTTTATTTTCCTATATAGCAGTGGTTCTCAACCAGAGGCAATTTTCCCCCCCAGAGGACATATGGCAATGTCCGGAGACTTACTGCTTGTCACAACTGGGAGGGGGTGGGGAGGACTGCTGTTGGCATTTAGTGGGTAGAAGCCAGGGATGATGCTAAGCATCCTACACATGGGACAGTCCTCCACAACAAATAATTATCTGGCCCAAACATCAATAATGCCAAGGTTTAGAAACACTGAAATTTGTATTCACCTTTTCATCCAAAAGATGCATTCCAAACACTATGTCATTTTATTGGATTCGGTTCTACAGGTATTCCATCTGTCTTCTTTCATGTTAAAATGCTAACCCAACACTTGCCCGGTACCCAGTGTGGTTCAATAAATGTTTGTGGGACCAACAACAACAAACAACACAAAAATGGAAGCTCAAACTCTTCTACACCCCCACGTATTCAAAACTGTTCTTTTCCCTGGCCACCAGGGGGCAGAGCTTGCTGAAGGCGTGAATGGAACGGTTTGAAAGATCCAGTACAAAGAAGTTTCTTTGTAGGGTCTGTTGAAAGCTTCCTAATGACTACGTGGACTTTTTCTTTCGGCAAAATCAAATCCAGTCTACAGGATGTACTTGAGCCTGGCTGCACCCTAAGATTTGCCAATTGGGGCTAGAGTTGTGGGAAACTACAGTACTGGAAATCCTCGGAGGGAAAGAAAAAAAATTGCAAGCTTTATGGGGAAAAGGGATATTTTGTCTACCATAACTACAAATTTATAAAATGCAAACTGCACAAGAACCACCCTCATTTAGTATAGTTTTTAAACACTTTAGACACTTAAAATAGAACTGCAGCCCTGAATACACAGTCTGGTTTTGCGGAGCAAAATTATAGAGCACATCACCAAAAAGTGCTGAGTGAAACGGCAGGAATTTCTTCCAGCGTTTTTCAATCCAGGATAAAACTAGCTGCATAGAACTAACTAGTTCGGTTCAGAATGGCAGCTGAACAAATTCGAAACTTTTTTTAAAATTTTTTTTATCAAAAATGTCCCTCTGTCTTATTGCTGCAAAGCCTGTAAACCATATTTGTTTGCAGATGAGATTGGTCTAAAGATTGACGTTTATTTTGTGCCTAGCAACATGGTAGTTGTGAAAGGATGGCTCTCTGCTGGTTCTCTGCCTTCCATTGGTTTTGTTGACTTTGAGAGGGAAAGAGCTTTAAGCAAACACACCTTCTCATAGATTAGCCCCCTCAGAAAGCAGCTGGGCTATCCCTTCTTCTGAAAGCTGTCTTCTCCCCTAACTCAGCTTTGATGCTCCTTCCTTTCGGCCACAGGGCCACTGTTTGGAAGGAACAACAAATGAAATGGGTCCTGGCAGGGTTAGTGTGGGACCCTTCATTTCCCCTTCCGGACTTAAACCCTCTGAACCATTCCTGGCCCCAGCTGTGGTCGTCTAGCTAAGTAAATTGCAGCCCATACTCCCTAGGAAGATGACCCAGTGTGACTCATAGTCTTGAAGTTACAAAGAGTTGGACAGATGCTTGGGAGGGTTCTTATTCTCTCCCGTGGTTAGATGTGGCCACCGCCCCCAACAAAGGACACGTAGCATGGCCCTGGCTCAGAGTATCAAACGAATCGAGGGTCTTCTAGGCAGCTCCCAGGCCTAGGTTCTAACCCACTCAAGCTCCCCTGTTCTACTTTCATTCTCGCCCTAACTCTCTCCGCCCTCCCAAGGGGTCCCTCTGAGACCAGAAACTATTAGGCAATTCCCTGTACTTTGGGGGCGTCCCACCGGATCCACGTCCTATCTCTGCTCCCAATGACCCCGTCATTTTGGTGTCCCGTCCGAGTTCCCGGACTCCACTATAAGAAGCCCGGGTCCTTTCTTACACGTAGACACAAAGGACACCCAGGCGCACGCATGATACACACACACAACTGTACAGATATTCCCCCAACGGCTGGACAGATGCCCACCCCGTGTCGGCCGCCGCTCTGTCGCCTCCACCAGCGCAGCGTGGCGCCCTCCCTGCACTCACCAGGTCCACCACCTCCCTCTGCCGGAGCAGCGCCTTTTGCTTCCCCTTGGGGGGCTCTGAGCCGCTCGACGGCGCCGGCAGCTGCAGCAGCAGGAGCAGCAGGAGGCCGAGGAGCCGCTGCCGGGAGGTGGCGGCGGGGCGCTGGGGGCGCATGGCGCGCGGCGCTGGGGAAGCGCAGAACTGGGCGGGCGGCGCGGAGCAGGAGCAGGAGGACCAGGAGGACCAGGAGGAGGAGAAGGTAGAGGGAGCTGGGACGTGGTCAGCGTCTGATCCCGCCAAGCTCCGAGCCCGCCGCCCGCTGCATCGGTACGCCTTTCACCCGCGCTTCCCTCTCTCCCTCCCTCTCCCTCGCCCCTGGACGCCAGAGTTTCCAAGCTGTAATAGGTCAGAGACCCCACCCCAAGCCCGGCGCGGGGCGGGGCGAAAGCTGGGCCCGCCCCTGCGGCCACCCCAGAGCGGCCCTCCAGGACGCTCCGGGGACAGTGCGGACGGAGCGGAGAATCTGCCTGAGGGGCCGGGCCGCGTGGCTCGTCGGGGAGCCACAGGTGGAGGCTCGACCAGAGTGGACAGGGCACTGCCTAAATGAACCTTTTACAGACACGTGTCTTAACCTGTGTCCAGGAACCGGCTTCAAGAGTTGTCAGTCCCTAGAACCGTGGACAAGCATTTTGGGGGGAGGGGAGAAAGAGGGATGACATTTTTGGGGTTGGGACATAGATACCATCAGGTTCTCCACAGGGCGCCTAACCCAAATAGTTAACAATGGCAGGCTTAATAATAAGTGCTAACACTTACAAAGCCCAGGGAACCATACCGTCTTTTACCTGTACTGTGTCCTCACAGCGATCTTGTGCGGATAGATACCTCCTCTGCTAGCCCCATTCACGGATGAGGAAACTGATGCTCGAGGAAGGCTAATCAACATTCAGTGGTGGAAGTCTACTTGTGAGTAGTCACTCTTGACCTGTGCTTAATGTCATCTGTTTCTAACCTTATCTTCTAGGTGCTTTCCAAGCTTTAAAGATGTGGGGCAATTGCCTGCGGTGAGAAGGATCTCTTGAGAGTTGAACGGCGAGTCTCTTCTCCTAGGATCAACAAAACTGGAGAGAACTAGGAGAGTCTGTGGAAATCTGGAGTAAGAGGTTCTCCTGTTATGTCAGCACTGGAACCTGCCCTCTGTCCAGACTGGGGAAGTCATCTCTCCTCCTTTGTTCATTCTGGAAGAAAGCATCCTCAGGGAGCCAGGCCACCCAACTGGAATGGTCGAGTCTGAACCCACAGCCCCTTTATACATCACTGGCTGGAACCAGGTGGAATAGAAGTCTTGCCATTCCTGTAACAACACTGAGGCTGCTGACAGAAAGGCAGGGCTGCTGAGGTCACACTCAACTCAGCAGGGTTCTCTTTAGAGACCTAGCCAGGTTCCAGGAAGTTATAGTGAGATCCAGTCGATGGATATCAAAGACAAGGAACAGTTGGCATGGGAGCAGGTCAGTTCTAGGAAAGTTCACTCCTGGGCCAGCGCCTAACTACAGGTAATGTCAAAAATCATTACATCTTGTAAAAGATCAGCATATGTTGTATGCCTTTGACTATAGGTTACAGTCTGCTGAGTGTGTCAGAAGCACAAATGCAAATGAGTTCTAAAGCCAGGGCAGGTATATAATTTACGGGCCCAGCACAAAATGAAAATTCTGAGGCCCTCGCCCAAAATTATTAAGAATTTAATAATTAAACAAAGCAGAGCATTAAACCCAGCTTGGGACCCTTCAAAGTGTGCAGCCCTGTGCTCCTGCACAGGTTGCACACCCGTAAAGTTTTCCCAGTCGAAAGCTTAACATGGGCCCAGCGGGTGCCTTTCTGCAGCCAAACCACAGTGGTGGCAGCAGTCTCACAGGCTGGAGAGGAGGGCACTGCCACCCAGAAGGCCTGCCTTTGCCCGATTCCTGCTGCTGCCGCTGCTGCTACTGTCATCCAGTGACTTCAGTGGTCGCTCTCTGAGTAAATCTGAGGTCCAGATGGGGGTTTCCTCAAGGAGCTAATCCTATCTTAACATCCATGCATTTTTAAAACTGCACATTCACATAATTAATCAAATTACACTGTAAGATAACTAAGACAAATATCATCATCTACATATCAAAGACAACATATAATGAAATATAACTACTGTACAGTATGCAGAGGGCTTTCACATACCCTGTCTCCCTGGTCCTCAGCTAGTCTGGTACACAGAGGCAGATTTACTGGGGGCTGAGTCCCTGGGTGGTGCAAATGGTAAAGCGCTCAACTACTAATGGAAAGGTTAGCAGTTTGAACCCACCCAGAGGCACCTCAGAAGAGAGGCCTGCAGATCTGCTTCCAAAAGGTCACAGCCTTGAAAACCCTGTGGCATGTAGTTCTACACACAGGGTCACCCCGAGTTGAAATTGACTCACATGGGGTCACCATAAATTGGATTTGACTCAATGGCAACTGATTTTTTTTTTTTTTTTTTGGATGCAGCTTAACCTTCAGGGCCCCTCACTTCGTCAGCATCTTTCCAACACCCTGGAAGGAGGTCCTACCATGTGCTTACATGGTCAGGTGTCTTATAAAATTTGCAAAAGTAAAAATTTTAGCCACAATTGGTTAAGACTGCTCTCTCTTTCCACTCCTCTATTTCACCTGCCTGTCAGGTGGCATTGGAATTACTGCAAACATTCCACACTTGTTATTGCTAGCAGTCCAGGTATAGGAATGGCTTCCAGGAGTGCTGCTACTGTCTACTGGGCCACTTCATCTGTCTTTGTGACACAAAGGTGCAAGGTTAGAGGTTGTGTTATGACATGATCGGATCCTAAGGTACCTGGCCCAGAAGTATGTGGGTAGTGGAGGAGAAAAAAGGTTTAACATGGATGGAGCCAGAAGCTAGCCTGTGGAAAAGTTTTCCAGTCGTTAGATATATAAGCAGAGGATTCTCATTAACATCTAATCAAAATGGAAGTTCTGTCCTATAAGGAATATAGTCAATAATGCAGAGAATACAATAGTAAGCACCATAAATATATATATATATATATATATATATA